CCCCAAAACCCCAAAACCCCAAAACCCCATGGATAATAATAATTATTGAAATTGAAAATGGAATACGGAATTGGTAAGTCTGAAGGGAGATTTGGAAGTAATAGTGTGATTTATAGATATTTATACACCCTCAAAGGTAGGCATTAGAAGGCAGAGGCTGATTTTTGGTAGATTACTGCTTTGGTGAAAGTTGTGGGCAATGAGAGTGAAAATGTGATTAATGTCAAGAGAGAAATTAGGTAATTTGATGTTTGGACAGAAGGATGTAGCAGGGTGTATAAAATCTGGGGTCTTAGATTTTTGAGAGATGATTGGAAGCTTAATTTTGGTGTAGGGAAATTTTAGGGAAAACAATGAGCGGGACTGGTAAAATTGATATCAGCCTTTTACCTGGAACTCATGATCCAAAGTAAGCAAAAAATCTAAAATTTTCCTATTCATTCAAAATCATCATAAAAATAGCATCAACGAGTGAATCTACTGCGATTTCATTGAGGATGATCACCAAGAATCTCTTTGGCGTGATTTCCAAAGATGGAGAGAAACTTTAGGAATCTTAGTCATTGCAGAAGTAGAATGTGAGGATGGATGCGATCTCTCAGAGGCTCTATCAGCTTCTGGAATAGATAAAGAATTTGAGAATATTATTGAATCAAATAGAATGGTCCTTAACACCCATTTAATAATCATCCCTACCTCGAATAATGTGGATACTTCTGGTTGTATCAACGAATACACCCATTTTGCATTTAAGAGCAAGAATAACCAATTTGATCTTGAAAAGCCACTTTATGATTTCTTCAGTGGTATTCTGGACCGGATTGACCAGGAAGCCTCTAACTTTGCTAATGAGAAGAATGAGGGCCTTATCATCACATTAGCAGATATCAATATTGATGAAGAATTCACAACAATGAAAAATCGTAGAAATTGAAGGAAGCTCAAAAGTTTAGGAGATATGCTACTTCTAAGAGGCAAATATGAGGATGCAATTGAAAGGTAAGTCAACGAAGGATTTTTAGTTATGACCAAGCAATCGCCAATGCAATAGTAGCCGAAGACTGGCTCTGGAATGCAGGAGCTCTGTTAAGCAAAGCTACAGCAAAGATGATGATAATCTGATCTCCCTTTGATAAGTATTATGCAAGGTTCAATATGGATATTTACGAGATTCTGAAATAGTGCTCATAATAAGATGTCCAAGACCAAAATTACAGAACTAGAGGTTGAGACATCCCTTGTTATTGCCAGATATTTATCTAATTTCTCAACTTGTAAACCACTTCTTATGGACATGCTACTTTACATTACTAAATATGATTTGAAAAGACTGAGGAGAAAAGAAAAAGGTCATTTATACCTAAATCTCGCTGATATCTGAGGAAAAGCTGGGTTCAATAGGAAATAAAAGTTGATATCTCATTCAAGCAAGCAATCACCTTTGGAACAATGTTGACTATCAAAATACTGATGAGGTTAACAAAAGTAATTTTCCAAATTTTAATCTTAAATTTTTGCCAAATTTTGAGGTATAGAAAATGATAAATCTTCAATCTCTCATATCAAAATCTAATGTATACATTTAGAGCTTGGAGCGTACATTACAGCCTTAGCATCAGGCTATGGGATTAATTTCAGTAACTTCGATCAAGACCTGGAGCCTCATAAATCAAGAATAGTCCAGCTCTGATTGGATATAAACTCAGATCTTGGTCTAAATAAATCAAAAACATCACCTTCCTTCAATAGGTTTCTGTACAAAGACAAAGACTCTCCAGGGTGTTACCAACGTGTTGAGAAGAAGATTCCAAAGCGTAGCTATCTCCAAAAGATCAGACGGTATTTTCCATCTAACCCATTAGGCATATGACCACTCTAGAACAAGTAGATCCCTGATTTTTCAACGTTGACATCCAAAAGATCATTCTCAGAGAGATAATGCAGATCTGCACGAAGTCTACTTCCCTTGACGAAGTACGGATAGAGTAGTGATCACTTTAGGAGAAGAGAAGAAGTTTGGTCGTTAAAATAGCAGCCTGATTTATGAGTACGTTATGACCTAAGTATCCTATAGACGTCTCTGCTGCTGCAACCTTCGCAGAAGGAATAGTTAGTTCTGCACAGAGAATCATGGACAACGATCATCAAGAGGAAAGTAAGGAGGAAATCAAGGTACGGTTTTGGAGCTTGCGGATGAGGGCTTTTGGCAGACAACAATTTTAAAGGGTTTAAAACAGAAATATTAGAGGAATAAGACGGCATTTTATTCAAATTTTAGTATTTTTAACGCATTTTATAGACTGAAGCTGGCGAGAAGGGTACTATACACAGCTTTTTAAATTTCCAACCTCATTATGAGGTCCAGTATGATTGCGAAAAGGATATTCTGATGACAGAAGCAATGTTCAAGAAGCAGATTAAAATGGAGCAGCAAAAAGGAGGTAGCTTGTTAAGTTACTCTATAGCATTGAATTTCTTGAAACAATTGAGAAAGAAGCTATTATCAAAGAATACCAATAAGAAAATGCTAATTCCATGCTGGAAAATCGGTCAAGAATACCAGGTAAATCTGAATGCTCATATCTAGGTCAAACTGTACCTAAGAGCGCCAATAATTAAAGGAGAGATGCCAGATTGAGATATAATTACTAGTTCAGAAGATATTAAGTAAGCCCTACTTTTATTTTATAGATCAACACCTTGTAAAATTAAGCTTTGCGAAGAGGAAAAAGATAACTTTACAATCTGTATATCTTGAAATTTTAAGCCGGAGTCCTCTATGATTTTGACAATAGTAGGGGTGCGCTTGACATATAAATCTATATCTCTTTCAATTGAAGATACCAACACTGGTTCTGAAGTGAAGCCTCTTTCACAAAAAGGTATGTAAAGATCTTAAATCATTCAAAATGACTATCCTTGCATAGCATGGAATAATATCTAACTATTGAGGGCTTATGTCTTTAGAAGTGGGTTGGTAGTGGGGTTCTTCCATGTTTATAAATACTGTCTTCTGATAAAAGAAGACAACAACATGCTACATTTGAACTTATATATCTTGATGGAAATCTCAAGAAATCTAAGCCAGATTTTTGACTCATGAAGGAGGAGATATTATCATTTGATCTTTTATTTCAAGGGATTTAAATATGCTCTTTTGTAGCATCTCCCGGCTTTTTAGTTTGCTAGAAGGAATAATAGATATAATAAAAGCCAGTAATGAAAATTTTGATATCAAATTTTATTTCTTTTAAATTCTAGATCAATGTTCATAACAAAATTTAAATAGAAGAATCAGAGCAAGAAAATCAAGCTCCTCATGGACGGTTATTTATATGGCATATGCTACAGAGTGATGGGATACGAAAACTCCCAAAGTTTATTGTATGCCCTGAATAGATTAATTCATCTAAAATTACATACAAAATCAGATTTTTAAAACCTTGGTAAAATGTTCTTGTTGATATTTATTTCCCATATTTCTCTCAAATAAACCGATTCTAAGAATGTATACTTCAACTTATAGAGGTATTCTCTAACTCTAACCTCAAAATGCCCATAAAAATTTTATTTTTATCATTGGCTCAAAGTTAGCTTCAAGACCTGGAGCAGTACTTCCTCTGAGTCATTCTCCTTAATTGTTTTATAAATAAGGTTGTAATTTATTGGGGTTTTGGGGTTTTGGGGTTTTGGGGTTTTGGGGTTTTGGGG